GCAGATATGCTGAAGTTCGATTCCATGTACGTCGGTCCCCTGATTTCATCAACCGTGGTCGCTATTAACAAGTTATTCAGGAGGATATCATCTGGTTCATCTCGCCCTCGAACACCCCCAGCTTCCTCCTCAGCGACGCACAGCCGACACGCAACGACATCGCCGACAAGCAGGGGTTCCCATGGCATAGCAGCGCCGCCCTTCAAAACCTACATGAATTTCCTCTCCAACACGAACGATGACTGGGACGCGGACGATGGTGACGAGGTATACGACTATGAAGAGGATGTGGACGAGTTCGGCTTGGGCGTTGCGAACGTCAGGAGTAAATCAAAGCGGTCGACTCCTGCACGGAACACATCAGACTTTGGAGACAGTCTGTTGACACCAGATAATAGTATGGGCGTGCATGCGAGGAGATACTCCAACAGCGCCGACATAGCGATCGAACGGCCAGCACCAGCATACCCTTTACCCAAAAAGAGCGAGGGCAAGATACTGAGACCCCAATACAAGGACATTCTCAAAGACCCAGCCAACGCACTCCACTTAATAAACTACCCAACAATTCCGGTTAATGCTACACCAAAGGAGGTCGATGCGATCAACTCCCGAATATCTCGAATAAACAAGTTTAAGAAAATATTACAGTCATCTACCATATCACTTCCGGACCTGAGGGCGTTGGCATGGTCAGGAGTGCCGGAAGAGGTCCGCGCCATGACATGGCAACTGCTCCTCGGCTACCTCTCTGTAGGAAGTGACAGAAGGGTTCCAATCCTCGAGCGGAAGCGAAAGGAATACTTGGATGGAGTGAAGCAGACGTTTGAAAAGGGTGGAGTTGCGCCCAGCCAAAAGTCTGGAAAGACACAGCAAAGGGGCTCGGATGAGGCCATATGGCACCAAATCAGCATCGATGTCCCTCGAACAAACCCTCACATTGAACTCTACGGATATGAAGCAACACAAAGGTCACTAGAACGTATATTATACGTCTGGGCCGTGCGCCATCCAGCAAGCGGTTATGTACAGGGTATCAATGACCTAGTCACGCCGTTCTTCCAAGTCTTCCTGGGCACATACATAACAGACCCAGATATCGAAACGGGCATGGATCCAGGCCAGCTCCCGAAAGCCGTGCTGGACGCCGTCGAAGCCGACACATTCTGGTGTCTGTCAAAACTCTTAGACGGAATACAAGACCACTACATAGTCGCCCAACCCGGCATCCAACGCCAAGTCACCGCCCTGCGAGACCTAACCGCCCGCATAGACCAAGGTCTAGCAAAGCACCTCGAGCAAGAAAACGTCGAGTTCATACAGTTCTCCTTCCGCTGGATGAATTGTCTCCTCATGCGCGAGATCAGCGTCCGAAACACCATCAGGATGTGGGACACATACATGGTACCTCAAATCCCTCCCCCCTCCACCATCTATCCCCTCCCAAACCAACTAACTCATCCCCCCCTTTCAGGCGGAAGAGAACGGCTTTTCGGAATTCCACCTCTACGTCTGTGCCGCCTTCCTGGTGAAGTGGTCGGACAAGTTGACCAAGATGGACTTTCAGGAGATCATGATGTTCCTGCAATCCCTCCCCACGCGCAACTGGACCGAGAAGGACATCGAGCTGCTCCTGAGTGAGGCCTACATCTGGCAGAGCCTGTTCAAGGGGTCCTCGGCGCATCTGAGGGGAGGGAATAGTGGAAGGAGTAACTCGATGGGGTTTCAGTTGGGTCCTTGTTAGTGAGGGAACCAGTGATTGGGTTGAATTGAGGCTCGGAGGTGAATTGTGGGGGCCGTAACGTTCCGGCTCCGATGCTGAGACTTACAAATTCTCAATATCCGCAACAAGTGGTCCATCAGCGGCTATGCGATCTCTGAAGTCCTGTCATGGAATAAAGAGGTGAGAACACCATGCTAACTGTGGTGTTGAGAGAATCTGTGGAAGTAATGAGGGTTGTGCATAACTGTCTTCATCCTTGGCGTTTATGGGAATCACGCTTATGGCCTGGGTTAGTTTACCATGCTGCTGGCTGCATTGAATCATATCATATAGGTAGGGTTCAGTCTATAGTGGTACCTTGCGCCGCCTGGGATATGAAATCTGACACGGTGGCAAGAGATATATAAAACACTGTGGTTTCCTGCTTGCATCACGGGATGAGACTACGAGCTGCAGTCTTTCAGCCATATCATGAGTAAGAGCCAGACCAGATAGAGCTCATTTCGATAAACCGTTTGGCTCAGTTATAAAGCCCTTAACTCCCCGTTTTCCAACTTTCTTCCGCAAGTAAAGCGCCCTTGCCTTTTCCCAGCTAATATACAGTGCAACCGCCCGACCACTGATGGAGTACTACCCACCAGACTACCACTCACAGCCAACCCATGCAACTTCCGCAGTAAGGTAACGATATCCGTGCAGGTGATACAAGTTTTTACACAGTTTAGGGGCGCATTACGCCACAGTTTCCTCCGCTTGATCTTCTACCTTTGTCTTCTTGGCCTCGCTTGCGGCCTCGCTGTCGGCTGGTTCCTCGGCCTTACGTTTCCCGTTGCCGTTGGTCGCGGCATCTGGAGCAGCAGCTTCGGACTTCGACTCGTCCTTGGCCTTCTTCCGCACCAGATTCGACAGGTCGTTAGCATTCTTCTTGGCCTCTTCTATCTCGGCGTTTGAGCCGGCGGCGGTACCAAAGAGGTTCAAGGCACCCTGTGTGGCGCTGTCGAGGGCAGCCTTTACATCGACGGGCGGCTTCTTGAGCTCAATAAGCTGTGCGAGTGGACCACGTTAGTAAAATGAGTAAGGCATGACTTATGCGGAGCGCGCTTACTCTCTGCTCCATATCTGCGATTATGGCCTTGACATCGTTGATACGGGCCCTAGTCAAGTCGTTGTCCTCTGGTGAGTGCATAGTGGCAACCTCAACCTCCTGTGTCTGGAGCTTCTTCTTGGTGGAGTCAATGGCGGCCTGCATTTCCTTGACCGCTTCGTCCCGTAGACCTTGGTCGAACGCATTGGCACCAGCCTTGGCCTCAGCATCTTCCGAGTCTTGAGTGATGGAAGCAAACTCCAAAGCGAGGGACAGCTTGTAGTGGCATTCGGCAAGAATCTCCGAATCTTCCTGATAGAGCTCCTTCTTGTACTGGAGAGACGCGCGGAGATCCCTAATCGCAGCTTGGTATCTGTGAACCTGTCAGCTTTCCTGTAGCAGAAATGCTAGCTGACGGGGATCAGATACTTTTCGTTCTCAAGGGAAATCTCGGCGAGGAGATCGTGCGCGTCGGCTAACCGCTCCTTGATGTGCCTGACCTTGGGGGAGTCACCCTCTGAAACATCTTTACCCTTGCCCTCCTCTGTATCTGCCTGCTGTTGCTCTTCCTCAAGTTCCTTGGTGAAGAGAACGCGAGCGAGATCGAGCACCTGGAAAGCGGTCTCGAAGTCGTCATCTTCCTCTTCGGCGCCGTCCTCGCCTTCTTCATCATCCTGTAGTGGCCGGTTAGCCACGAAGCCAAGACCTTGTCAAGGAGGAGAGAACCCACCATTTCCTCATCAGAGTCCTCATCTCCTTCGATCTGGATCAGCGGCTTGTTATCGACGTCAGCCGACTTCGGCTCAGTCGCGTCGTCAGCAGCGCCGGCAATTGCCTTTTCAATGATCTTTTCCGGCTCAGCGCCATCAGCCGCCTTCTTGGCCTCACCATTGGCCTTCTTCTTGCTGCCCTTCTTGGCACCCTCGCCCTCAGTAACGGGCGCCGCGCCGCCCAAAACATCGCTCTTGCTCTGTCCAACCTTGTAAAGTGCACGACCGTACAAGAACAGGATTTCAGCGTTCTTGGGGTTCATCTCTCCATTCATCTCGGCCTGCATCTCGGTCGCCCTCGAGAAAATGTCGGCGGCATCTTCGTACTTCTTCTGGGCGTAAAGAGCTGTCGCCTTGGCGCAAAGGTCGGCAAGGGAGACGTCTAGGCTCAAACGACGTTGGCGCTCGTCCAGTTCGAATGGTGTGACGGTTCCAGCAGTTGCGATGCCGGGGGTTGTCGGCAAGGACGATGCGGCCGACGCTGCTGTTTGGGCAATGTCGCCAACGAGGCTCGTGGTGCCGGTAGTCTCAGCGGCTGCGGAAGTATCGGTAGTCTCAGGCGCAACGGCGGCCGTGACCGCCGTGGTTGGCTGTTCATCGTTGGAAGCCATTGTGGATTGGCCGGTACTAATGTCTAGAACAGTAAGAGATATGTAATGGCTACTGAACAAGGTAGCTACTGTTGCTAATGGTTGTAGTGAGAATAGTTGATGGGAATTGATGCAATTGGAATTGAAATGTACTGAGTTCAATTGATCTTGGGACAAGAAGATTGAAATAGCCTGACAGGGAGAGAACGAGTTGGAAAGGAAGGTGCGACTGATGATCCAAGACACCAATGGAAGCTGCTGATGTGACGCGATCTCGCAGTCACGCGTTTAGTGGTGGGCCGCTACTTCTACGATCGACCTACTACCTCGGCCGTTCAAGGTCAAGCATGCAAAATTGGAACAATTGATGGTCCCGGGACACATCTACTGATCTTTGTTACGAATACCAGATACCCTTAGGGCAACCATGCTCTCTGATGTCAGTGCCGTGATCCAAATCGGCACAATCATGCAGACGATCCAGGTCTCAGGTCCCTAAGGAGAATCAATGCCTTCAGCACTTGGCCGCCGAGTCCCCATTGAAACGCACAATCGGTGGCTGAAGCAAGGTTATCTATCCATTGGCACTGATCCTGTAGATATTGTGTATCTTGGCATCACAGCAATCGACAAGCCGCTTGAGCTCAACGAGATGCAGCAAGTCGTTGCTCCCCAGGTATGACGCCAATGCTACCATATTACGCCAGTCATCGTTGGCCGGACAGCAACGTCGGAACGAGTCATGCCTTTGACGATGCCCGTTCGTTATCCCTGCTCACAGACAGGTTCCACGGCTCATGCTTTGGCTATTGAGACACAGCTGACAACACCTGGCCCGTTTAGCTCAGTGGTAGAGCGTGTCACTCGTATGAGCTTCTCACCTGGAGATAGCCTCAAACTGCAATGACAAGGTCGCTAGTTCAATCCTGGCAGGGGGCATACCTTTTGTCACCGTCATCAGACGATGCGTCGTTTTCCTTTTCCTTTTTTGTTTTGTTTTGAGGGCCATGGGGGTGTGCTTGACAGTATCCTCTATCCTAGACGTAGGTTTTGGTTCTATCTGAAGGCCAAATACCCCAGACAGCTAACGTGAACGTGTCAACCTCCTGGCAGTTGCAGGGTTTGTGTATGCGTTTGGATGTAACTTGTATTAGTCTGACCAGCTGCAAGCCTAATCCACAAGCATAGCATAGGGGACTACGAGCTAAGCAAGGTACAGTAGTGTATTAATGCACATTCAGATATCATCACACTAACGTCGACGCGCTGAACCTCAAAAGATGTCTTGGGGTTATAGTCTTAGATATATGACATTATCAGGGGCATAGTAACACTGTCCCCGAGTTTTTCTCATTGCTATGCTTTCTCGTATGTACAGATAGTGTTACCCAAGTCCTTCTATCGTCCCAAATGTAAATGCAAGAGACCCCTCCCAATATGAAAAACATGATGTAGACAAAGAGGAATAGGTCCCATGCTAATATCAGCCATCCAGCACCTGCGGAATGAGACATTGAGACCTATCTATACTCGGTCGACCAAATAACGTACAGTGCTTGCGCCGAAACACCTCGTGTGCTGATGTGATTTTCCCTATAAAACGCCCAAGACCACCATCACTTGGCACGCTTTTCGTTCCCACGCTTTTTGATGCCGACGACGGAACGGATGAAAGAATGAAACAAGTTTATTGAAAACAGAAAAACATGGCGCTTTGGGTATTATGAAAAGGCCGTCTCCAAGTGGAAAGTGCCGAGCTGAAAGACAAGGGTGAGATCGGGGAGCCTTCTGCGGTAGAGAAGGAAAACTAGTGCTTGATCGATCAAGCGTCCCACAAGTGTCATATTTGACCATTGGTTGTCGAAACCGGTAATGTGCTTCCATTGCTGACCGAAACATCGTCAGGTTTCTTCTCCTGGCCGCTCACGGGACCTCCGTTCACGGTTGGCTTATTCTGCCGCTGCTGCTCGGGCGTCGTCTTTTTCGTCAAGTCCGTCGTCTCGGGCTCCTCGGGAATGGTTGCAAACTTCTTAAGCACCTGCTTCAGAGCCGGGCGCCGGATGGGCTTCGCCAAGAACTCGTCCATACCCGAGTCCATGCAGTCTTTGACGTTGCTCTCGTCGGAGAAGGCTGTGAGCGCCACGATAGGCGCAGAGTAGCCCATCTTGCGGATGAGCTTGGTCGACTGTATTCCGTCGAGGTTCGGCATTTGAATATCCATGAAGATGACGTCGAAGCGCTGGTCCTTCTCCATATTCGCCTTGACCAGCTCGTAGGCTTCCTGGCCGTCCTTCGCGATTGTGACGTCGTAAATGTCCTCCAACTTCAGCATCTTGCTGACCACCTCGATGTTGGTCGAGTTGTCGTCGGCGACCAAGACCCGGAGCTTAGCCTGGTCATTTTTGGTCGCCATGGCTCTGTCGATAGCAGCTAGTTGAGCGTCCTTACTGGCTGCAGCTGGTGGTGAGCTAGGCGTGGTAGCGAAGAACGGCTGGCTAAGGCCAACCAGTCGCGGTTGTTTGTTGAGGACAGTGGTCTTTTGGTCATTGTTGCTAGGTTTGCCGCTGAACGAGTTTCGCTGGTTATCGTCATTCACAGAGTTTGACCCAACACTAGGGGGGCGCGACTTCATGCTGCTAGACGCAGTACTCGATGCCCTGCAAGTTCGTGTTAGCAACCGTTGCGCGCAAAAAGAAAGAGCACAAGGACTTCCAACTCACCGGTCTTTCACGTATTTCAGAGGTATTACCATCGTGAAAGTCGTACCAACGCCGACGACACTCCTCAACGTGATAGAACCGCCCATCAGCTTGGCTAGCTGGGAGCAGATACTGAGACCTAAACCGGTGCCACCGAACTTCTTGCTCAAACCTAGATCACCCTGTACGAAGGGCTCGAAGATCTTCTCCTGCATGTGTTCGGCAATGCCAGGACCGGTATCCTCAACTTCAAACTCGAACATATACGACTTGGCATTTGGCGGAGGGGGTGTCGGAGATCGCTCACGGATGCGGACATGTGGTGTTGCTTTGTCGTCCATGGGGTTGATGGCCAATGCAGTGCCTCCTTTGGGGGCTGCCGACGAACTGGTTTTGGAGCCAACGGAGACGGCAGACGCAGATCCAACCCTATGGCGACTGCGACCAGCCCTCGAGTCACGGTTGGAAAAGGACGAAGACCTACTGTGCTCTCCGTCGTTATTCGACTCCACCTCGCCGAGACACCGTATTCTCACGTCCACTTTTCCTCCTGCCGGTGTGAATTTCAGACTGTTGCTAACCAGGTTGATGATGACTTGCAGGATTCTGTGCTGATCACCCCAGAGACACATATCCTTGAGTCTTCCGTGCCCGAAGGGTCCAAGAGCCGGCAGTTTCCTGTCCAGGCTGGTCCTCTCCGAACTAGGTCCTTCTGCACTCTCTGTGGAGACGAAGTTGACGGTAAAGGTAATGTTGTTCTCCCGCACCTGCTTGTCGAAAATGGAAATGATCTGTGACCTGATATCACCAAGGCGGAACTCCCTCTCCTCCAGACTGACTTGCTGCCCGATCTGGTTCTTCGAGAAGCTGAGCAAATCCTCCAGAAGATGAAGAAGTAGGTCTCCTGACTTGTACAAGGTCTTGAGTGACTGCTTGATCCTGACAATATCGTCCTCTTCCATACAGACAGCGCACATGCCCATGATGCCGTTGAGCGGCGTCTTCAACTCGTGCGAGATGTTAGCGATGAACAACGTCTTGCTCTCGTTGGCCGCCTCCGCCGCCTTTTTACTGATTTCCAAGTCCTTCGTCCTCTCAGCAACCTTTTCTTCAAGCGAGGAATATTGCTTATACAGTTCATCGGTCATTTCGTTGAAGGTTTCCGTGAGCTCCGTCAACTCATCAGTGACGATATGTTTGTGGTCCTGCACCTTGCCGGGAATCTTGAAGATGCGTCTGTTCGAGTCGGCGTCTGCCTGCGCTCTTGCTCTCGCGCGCCTCCTCTTCCTAATGTGGCGTTTAATAAGGGCAAAAGGTCCCTTTTCGGAGAACTGTGATAACGTGCCGCCAGAACTGGGATTCTCTTCGTCATAGTTGTCTTCAAATTCCGACTCGTAGCCTGGAGGAGCAATGGACTTTTCGGTGGCAGACTTCAACCTCCTAATAGGCATGACACTCAGGTGGGCACATGGGAAGATTAGTACGACCACTAGTCCTGCAGTGCCAAAGACACAGCCGAGGAGAATTCTCCGGAGCTTCTGGATTGGTGCGTGTGTCTCGCTCGTGTCCTGTTCCACGATAACGGCCCACGTGGCAAGCGACGTTTGTGGCCGCGCAGCTCCCGCCGACACTGAATAGCCCTCCTCGTTCGTTGATGAGAAAAGGGCCGTGGCGTTGTTGACCGCTGCGCTTTGCTTGTACAGCACCGAAAGAGCGGCCGGGTACTGTTTCAGCGCGAATGCGTTGGAGAAGTTGCCCGTCCCAAACGCTCTGCCTTTATGTCGCTTCTCGTCGTCCGATCGGAGGAAAGGCGGAAGCACAAAGTGAACATCAGCCTGGGAAAAGGGCTCATATGGTGGCTGATAGGTGCTGTTGCTCGCAGGTAGCCTTGGGTTGAATCGATTCCAGTTGTTCGTCGGTCCAATGATCAGGACGATGCCCGTGTCGCCTAGTCCTTCCTGCGAGGTCTGGATCTCGATCAAACTTTGGGCTGAAGCAATAAGGGTCATGTAGCCGAGGATGAAACTGGGTAGGTCGTTGGCCCTGATTGGGATGGTGAGGGAGATGAGCGCAAATGTCTCATTGATCACTAACGGCCCTAGCAGCAAACCACCGTTGTTAGATAGCGTGACGTCTTCGAATGCGCGGGCGGAGAAGGCTTCAGTCGATGGCATGTATGGATTGGGGTATCCGAGATCCTGATAAGTGATGTTGGGATACAGCGAAGGCGGATATCCATCGGGAGCGTCGCTCAGATACACGGGTTGACCGTCCGAACCCAAGTATGGAAGCAGGATGTTATCCGTCTGGTTCCCTATTCCATCTCCTGTGACATCCAGAAGCCCGTGGGGGTTCCCAGTCGTGTTTCTCGAAAATAACCTCGCCTGAAACAATCCGCCAGCGCCACCAAAGCTCAGCGCGCTCTGAAGATCTCTGCGGGCATCATCCCAGACATGCGTCGTGTTTACCGTCTCATTGTAAAAGTCTCTGAAGGCTTGTTGAAGAAGCAGGCGAGAGGATATGGTCTGACACGTAGTCTGTACCAACTCGATCTCGGAGGCTATCCTAGCCGCCTTCAAAGATGCCGTCAACGACAAACCACTCGTCTCCACACTGATCACAAATCTGTTGACATATACCCAGGTCGGAATCGAGACGATGGCTAGACCGACTAGGACGGCCAGGATCACGAGGGCAGCAAGCTGCTCTCGTATGGCGATCCTCATGTTTGCCGGCTATATGGAAGGGTCCGAGGAGCAGCCTTTATTCGTGTACATTCTTCTCTGGTTGATCGTGCGGTGTCAGGTACGGACAGTCGAATGTCAGGTCGTAGATCGAAAGAAACGTCACGGATATTGGCTTAGCCGGGTGCACAACTGTGACCGTCCCCTCACCACAAATCAGCAGCGTCGCGGCGTGTGTTTGAGACTGGTTCGTACAGGGAATGTTCGTCTCGAATCGAAAGCTGGGAGTGCGGCGCGGCGAGTTGGCGTCAATGAAATGGTAAACGACGTAATGATGATTAAGCGAATGTGGACGAATTGAAGGTATGAGGCAAATAGAACAGAGTTGAAGACCTCAATGTAACGGGCGGATAACAGAGACTGTTCTCGGGTTGTGGCCAGAAAAGGAGTTCGCAGCGTTGTCGTCGCAAAATGCGGCTGTAAAAAGGCGAAAAAGAATGTCAGCCAGACTTCCCCTTCCAAGAAACCGCCCAGTCCTTTCTGGGGTGCAGCAAAA